GATAGATTTCACTATGAGAAAAAATATCATCAAAGTGGTGAGGCTTGGGAACAAAATTGGGATTTTGCTGCCTAATCCTCATACGGTATGCTGGTGGATACTGAGACATCATAGGCTGGTTGTGCGGGTGGTTGTGGTTGTGGTGGGCTCGGTGGCTGGCGCTCCGCTTTTGTCCTTGAACTGACGACGTCAGCAGCGTGGTGGGGTCCCAGCGTGGCATAGTGAGTCACGCATGGCGGTTGCCACTACCATCACCACTTAACCCATCCACTGATGCCTGTGGTCTATCATTCCAAGTGATACGCCACATCATCCTCACTATCACTACCTAAACTGGTGTTGGGCCACGGGATGTAGTACCTCCGTCCTGGGCACAGCATAGGGCTACACTACACGAGCGCATGCGGTCGGCGAAAACATACCGACGCTTCACTGCGGTGAATATGATCCTCACTATCACTACTCGAATTGATCGCTCAACACTCGAGCGCAATAAAATCACAGTCCACTCACTATCATCATCATTACTGTGGTCAGAGGCCTGGCCACACGAAATATTAGTTTTTTCTCTTTGCCGATGAGGAACAACCGACCGTGAGGTCACGAGTGGCCCACACAGAGGTAGAAGGTTGAGAATGTCAGGGTTTCTGCACTATTATCGATATCCTGTCATTCCTTTTCGGTCACTAATGTTCAAAGCTGTAGAATTCGGTCTTCATTTCACTTCCATCAGTGTCAGACTATCATATGGGACAGAGGAGAGTACTAGTTTTCCGGGGATGTGAGGAGCTGACTTGCGACGAGGCATGGGAACAATTGGGTAACTGAGCCGGGGACGTTACCACAATGCTATGCGGGCGCGCCTAGGCATTTTTTGTTTATGGGCAAACCACCACGCAGGACCGTTCTCTCTCACATGTAGGCCTATGAGCGTTTTTCGCTCTAATTTTGACGGCGCTGATTTTGGCGTTGATCTATGGTTTGGACACTCAGCATAAAACCATTGATCAAGGGACGGACCATCAAAAGGGTTAATATATTTATAGGATGGGGTTGTAAAAGAAAGTAAATGTAGGGTGTTAGGGGGAGGGGTGGGATTTAAATTATGGAGGAATCAAATACACAAAAATGGGAAATTCGACACAGTACGTTTGTGATTGATATGTGCTTATGGGAGATTTAAAGAAAAAGTGCAAACAGGTTTGTGGATGAGTTTGGAGAGTGTGTGTAAAGGTAGAAAGTTGAAAGTGAAACATAGTAAAAGGAGTAAGGTGCTGAGGGTTTCAAATGGATTTAGATAATAAAGAAAAAATTGGATATCATATTGGGAGGAGTAGTATGGAAGAAGTGAATGTTTTCAGATACTTGAGAGTTGACGTGTCGGTGGATGGATTTATGAAGGATGAGGTTAATCATAGAATTGATGAGGGAAAAAAGGTGAGTGGTGCATTGAGGTATATGTGGAGTCAAAAAACGTTATCTATGGGGGCAAAGAATGGAATGTATGAAAGTATAGTAGTACCAACACTCTTATATGGATGTGAAGCTTGGGTTGTGAATGCAGCAGCAAATAGGCGGTTGGAGGCAGTAGAGATGTCCTGTCTAAGGGCAATGTGTGGTGTAAATATTATGCAGAAAATTCAGAGTGTGGAAATTAGGAGGTGTGGAGTTAATGAAAGTATTCGACAGAGGGCTGAAGAGGGGTTGTTGAGGTGGTTTGGCCATTTAGAGAGAATGGATCAAAGTAGAATGACATGGAGAGCATTTAAATCTGTAGGAGAAGGAAGGCGGGGTAGGGGTTGTCCTCTGAAAGGTTGGAAGGAAGGGGTAAGGGAGGTTTTGTGGGCGAGGGGCTTGGACTTCCAGCAGGCGTGCATAAGCGTGTTCGATAGGAGTGAATGGAGATGAATGGTATTTGGGACCTGATGATCTGTTGGAGTGTGAGCAGGGTAATATTTAGTGAAGGGATTCAGGGAAACCGGTTATTTTTATATAGCCGGGCTTGAGTCCTGGAAATGGGACGTACAATGCCTGCACTCTAAAGGAGGGGTTCGGGATATTAGCAGTTTGGAGGGATATGTTGTGTATCTTTATACGTATATGCTTCTAAACTGTTATGTTCTGAGCACCTCTGCAAAAACAGTGATTATACGTGAGCGAGGTGAAAGTGTTGAATGATGATGAGAGTATTTTCTTTTTGGGGATTCTCTTTCTTTTTTGGGCCACCCTGCCTCGGTGGGAGACGGCCGACTTGTTGAAAAAAAAAAAATACAAAATTTACTGTTATAAGAACATAAGAACATAAGAAAGGAGGAACACTGCAGCAGGCCTGTTGGCCCATACTAGGCAGGTCCTTTACAATTCATCCCACTAACAAAACATTTGACCAACCCAATTTTCAATGCTACCCAAGAAATAAGCTCTGATGTGCAAGTCCCACTCAAATCCAACCCCTCCCACTCATGTACTTATCCAACCTAAATTTGAAACTACCCAAAGTCCTAGCAGACTACTGCATTATTGTAAAAATCATATAAATAATATCAGCGCACTAGTGAAAGAATATTAGACTCCCCAGTTGACGTGTATTGGACGTGTGGTGTGATTTGCTTACCCTTGAACATTGGTAAAAATCGAATATTTCCGCTACTTGGAGTTCAATTTTAATCCAAAAAAATGGTCAATTTTTTTTTTCTCATTATGCACTGCATGCACACTGACCACACACACCCATTCTCTCACATGTGGGCCTTCCAGCTTTCTCCTGCTTGATTTGAAGCCGCTAGAATTATTGAGTTTATTATTTTCCGAAACACTAGCTCGAAAGACGTATAAAAAGCCCAAAACAGTAAAAGGGGTTTAAATAAAGGGGTCCCCCCGATAATATTGGGCTTGATAGTCGCCCTTTTTCGGAAATCGTCGGTTATTTTGGGGCCCAAACATTGGCTCGCAAAAGGGTTTCAGTTGACTCGCTATTTTGTTTTTCCTGGATGCATACCCCAAAGCTCTGACCCGCCTGGGGCCCCCCCCTTCCCGGGCCAGTGTGCCTTTGTTTACCGTGAGCAAAGTCCCCTCATGTGTTCATAGAAATATTTAAAAATTCCTTTTCTTTTTAAAGTTTTTTGAAAAGTGCAAATAAGCTACCAGGGCTCCAAAAAAAGCCCCCTAGTGCCAAGCCTTTGGGAAAAGAAGGCGGAAAAAAATTTGCGATTAAAAATTTAAAAAAAAAAATCTTTTGAACAATATGAAATTTGGCAACGTGTGGCGAACTGGCCAGGATTTTAAAAACAAACCCTTGCACAACAAAATCTTCCACCCAGGGGCCAAAAAAAAGGAAGTAAAGGGAAGTTTGTTTTTGGGAAAAGGGGGTAAATAGGCTGACAAAAATGGTTTCCCCAGTACTCAAAAGGGGGTTGAGGAAGTTGTTTTTTGGTGGGATAAACGAGAAAAAGGAAGGGGGAAAAAAAAAAGGGAGAGGGGAAAAAAGGTTTGGCCTTCTTCAAAAATTAAAGGGAAAGGATTTTTGAAATGGGGGGTAGGAGGGAAAAGTTTTTTTGGGGGAAACATCCCCCTGGGGGAAAAGGAATGTTGAAAAGCCATATCGGAAAACTTGTACAGTGAAAAGATTCTTGGCCCAAATTTTGGGGGGAATTTTTTAAAAGGAGCCAGAAAAAGAGCTTTTTGGGCCCCATTTTTGCGAAAAACGGGAAACGCCAGGGGGACTCTCAAGCTGGCCCTTTGGGGCTTTTAAGAAAAGGCAGGGGAAGTAACCCCAAAAAAGGTTGGGGTACCAAAGGTTTGTTGATGGAAGGTTATTCCTTTCCAAACAGTAAACAAATCCAATCTCTCTCCTCTCCAGCCCTTCGATTACACTAAGAAAAAATCGCCAATAAAGGTAAGTGTTTTCCCTTTTAAAATGTTTCATTCATCATGCCCCCTTTGTATTGTTTATTTTAGACATCTGTTTTTTTATGAAAAAATTTTTTTTTTTTTAATTTTCTTCTGGGTGTTTAGGGGAAAGGATTTTAAATTTTATTTACATTATTTCTTTTGGGGGAAAAAAATTTATTTTGAAAATCATATTTTTCGATAATCGTTGCCTTCCAGGAACAGATTTTCGACGATAAACCCAGGGACCTTTTGTATATTGGTTTTTTATTAATTTTTTTTGTGAAATAAATACACTTGTTTATGGTGTTAGATTAGTTGCTGTTTTGAATTTGTTGTAAACCTAATTAATACCAAAAAAAGGTGTTGGGGCACTAGGGATGTGGCCTGGGAGCCATGAGGGCAGCAACCTGCAAAAGTTTGGGAACCACTGGTCTAGTGTAAAACAAGAGAGACCCAAGATACATGGGAGGGCAAATATTTTGCTTGTGCTGGCACAAAAAAAAAAAAAATAGACATTCACAGTGAGAGGTGAAAATAAAATGCAGAATGTGAATCAAGAAGTTCTGGATATGCAGTGGCTGGACATACACAAAAGGTGGCTGTCTACCATATTTACCTATAGGTGAATAGAAACAAGGTGTAAGGAGATATCCATAAGTCTCATATTATCTGGGAATTGATCCCAGGCCTTTCAGTTGTTAGTTAAATGTTCTACCCTTTGGTTACGAGGCACCTCAGGGAGAAATTTTTGTTTCAGCATATCTGTTAACTTAAAACTAATATGTATGTGAATTATGTGTACAGTGGACCCCCGGTTAACGAACTTTTTTCATTCCAGTAGTATGTTCAGGTGCCAGTACTGACCGAATTTTTTTCCATAAGGAATATTGTGAAGTAGATTAGTCCATTTCAGACCCCCAAACATACATGTACAAACGCACTTACATAAATACACTTACATAATTGGTTGCATTCGGAGGTAATCGTTATGCGGGGGTCCACTGTACTTGATTTGTAAATGAGTACTTTTTAAAAATATGTGCTTTAGTAATTTTAATATATTTTTTTATAGCCTTCAGTTGTGACAAACATTCATCTAATTGTCAGTGACTAAGCCTTAAATTTATTTACAGTTGGAGAACTCTGGCGACCCACTAGACTTCACAAATGCTCACCCCCTGTCATATTGGACATGTGTGTACTTCCTTATTGTCACCATGTCCACTGTGGGATATGGTGATGTCTATTGTCATACCGTTTTTGGAAGAACTTTTCTTGTCTTCTTTCTCCTCGTCGGTTTGGTAAGTTTATTTTCTTGCTTGGAGCTTTTGCATATTTTCATTTTGTTAGGAAGCTGGGGTGTCGAGGGAGCTTTGCAGATCCTCCATTTTATGTATGTATATGTATGTGTATATATTAGTTCATTTATTTCACAAGTGGGCTGTTTTCTAGATTGGGATGTACTATACTATACTACAACATGAGCATGCAGGATATAAGTTTTATGCCACATACAAGATTACATTGAAAGATTCCCTCCTTGTGTTCCATTTTTCTACATTTTTATCTACATCATTGTGGTTTTTCCAAAAAAATAATTTCCTCTCCTTTGCTATATCATACCTGAACAAGAGAAAGATCTGTTCTAATAACATTAACTATTTGGTTGTCAGCATCTTTCAGGGAAGGGTATAGTACTTTCTGACCTGCCAAGTCCTTGTTACCAGTCCTTCCTCAGGCACCCCAGCTCACCCTTTAAATTTTACTAAAATAATTCAAATGTAGGTTGGTTTAGCCCCCGCAATTCACAGTGGTGTACTTCACAATTTTATTCTAAGGAAGCCTAATCAAGCTACTGTATTAAATTATTACCATATTTATGCACAACTTTTATTTTATGTTCAAAATAGGATCAGTGGTTGATATTGCTATACAACAAACAATTTTATTTACTTACAGTTTGCACATAACTTAATAAAGTTGATAAACTAACCGTTGGAATTGGCAGTGTTGATAAGGGGACTCAGGATCATATTTGCATAAACTATTGTAGATAAAAATAATAGTTTACGTATCTCTTTTGCACACAAATTAATTTATTTCTGTTGCTTTTTCTCTCTTGACCTCAATATCTTCTGTTCATTGCTATTTACTATGGGAATCACCTGTCACGGGCAGATGTCACTAGCCAGGGATTCAAGACCTTGCTGGTGCCGCTTGCCTTTGTCACGCACCCCACCCGCCCGGGGCTCTTACGACATACCCTCAACACACACTGTGTATCTGGAATGTCAATATACACCATTCGTGATGAATTGCAGTGTGTGCAGGTTTCCTGCGGCAGGGGCCCCGCCCGGGTTATAACCCCCTTTCCCCCCCCTCCAACACTACTGCACACACCCCACTGTCTGCTGCTGCCACAAGCTCTGCTGCTAGTGCTCTAGTTTTTCACCAAGAATAGTTTTAGTAGTCTCCAGTTAAAATTATACTATCAAACTGTTTAGTGTAAAATTTACAAAGCTGTTTTGATGCTCATGCTGATTTCATATAATTTACTGAAATATATTTGGTTCGAGTAACTGTGCAAGTGAAGTTGTTTGAGTGCTTAATGGTGTTAGCACATGATTGTGATGCTGTGGCTATAACACCCTATAGTGTGAGCTGACTGTGTACTAGTGTCACTGCATATCTCTGGCATCATACCATGTACTTTATAAAGCACCACACTTTTTTTTTGTGTTGCTCTGCAGTGGCTACTTTCATGTGTAGCCCACTTAGTTTATATGAAATGTTGTGGACATCTATTCTCTCTATGCCATTGTGAATCTGTTTTAGTTGAAGCTTGCCTTCTACTTGAGAATGTACACTTCTTAAACATATATTGCTGTAACCTTGCAGTAAGTGCACCAACCTTGGTGTTTCATTCCTATTTTCTTAAAGTCTTTACTCTAGTATGTAAATTTTTGTATATATTCATGTCCAGCATTTTATTTTTGTGGTAGTGCTTTAATTAAAGTCACAAAATGCTTATTACTTTTGGGAGAATTTAAACTGCTTGAGCTACTGCACAGAATCACAAAACTAGATATTTTATTAAAATGTTTCAGCTCCATTTATAATACCAATATCTTTTCAGTATCAGTGAGCACTATTACTTCTTGTTTTGATATCTGTGATGAATAGTTTGAAAGAGGCTTCATCTATCTCATAGGTTAGTTAGGATAACTGATATGACATTATATCTAGAAATAATTTGTTCATGAATTTTTTAAAATACAGTACACGCCAGAAATACCGATAGCGTAAATGAGTGTATTTTGTTCTTTTAAACTTTTTTTGTGCTGTCACAATTGAACGTGCATTTTAGCAAAAGCATCATCATTGTTGAATTCCCATAAAGTAACTTCTTTGTAGTGCTTACAGCGTGCTTTTATTTTTATTTTGCCTTTTTTTCCTAGTTAAATTCTGTCCTGCTTCTTCTGATCCCAGCTTCTACTTCATACTCTTAAATACATCTGCACTTTCTACCTCTCATTATGCTATCCTTCATATTTTTGTGTGTATGAGTGAGCCTAGGTGTGCAAGTTACTATGTGGTGGGTCTGTGTCACTTTGTAGCAGTAGAGACCAAGGTGGCACCAGCAGACTGCACCTCAGCCATGCCAGAGCTCAGAGTACCGATGCGAGGTACACTCCTACGAGCTATACATATCTAGTGGATATACACAAAGGTTAACCAGTAAAATGTAAAATAAATGCTATGTTTAGAAAATATTTATTGGTGTTGTTAATTGCCCTTGTGCCTTTGTAGGGGTGTGGGCTACCCATATGATCCCCAACACTGTGACAGGTGATTCCTCTGTGGCTTGTGAGGACCGAGTAACTACCAGCTTGGACATGTACTGTCAATACTGCCATTTCTGTCCGCACGCTGGTAGTGGCGTGGCTGCCACACAGAGTGCTTGTCTGTGCCACACTCAAACCACACCTTGGCCATTCCAAAGACACTGTTGGTCTGGACTCCTTGTGCTGTCCTTCTCACATTATCACTCATCACCATTATTGTACCATACTGTATGGTTATTGTGGCGATGGGAGTGACATAAGTGTCTGGGTGGTTGATCCTCTTGCTGCAAGTGCTTGCCCACCCTCATTATCATATTTGGAGGTGATGCAGAAGGTTTTAGCCTAGGTAGCAGGGTGACTCATCCTATGCTCTCAAATATTTTATCTTCATCACCACTAATAAAAAAACTAAAAATGGCATGGATGACACTGCAGTGTGGCAGGCTGATCCTTAATGCAAGTGCCACTCTAGCTGTCATCCTCCTTTGGGAAATTTACTGATTTATGGATGGTAGCATGAGTGGCAGTGTGGGTGGTCATTCCCTCTCCTACTACACCACATAAAACACCACACCAGACTGTGTGCCACTTATCAAGGGATAACACAACATGCACACTAAGAAAAAATTTGGGCCCCCTGGAATTTTAGGGATAAAGGGACATAGGTATTTCTATTTATGAATGTTATTTTAACATTACTCTTCCTTAAAAAATAATTTTTGTAATATTTATATATCTGAATCTAAGATTATTTTGACTATCAAAACTGGTTGCCGATTTCTCTGTAAGACTGATTTTCAAACGTGGCAACAGGGCCCTACATATATCTCTCTCTGTGTTGCCGTTGTCTGGTCAGCCAGTACGACCTTGCCTTGCTCCATCCTTACTGTCTGAGCCAGTCTTGTGCTTTTTTGCCTGGCTCTCACCCAGCCTTCCCATGCGCCACATCATTGCCCTGTTTACACCCATGAATGGCCCTATACGTATTCTTCTAGCTCTGAAATTATGAAAAAAAAAGTCACAATAATGTGATTGGAAAAATCACAAAAAGCCCACACTTAGAAAGGAAAAAACTTTAGGAGTCCTTGATAATGGTCCAGAATGGATTGGAAATATCTAAATTTTTCTTTCTAAGTCTTTTTTTTTTTTTTTTTTTTTTTTTTTGTTTTATTTTTTTTTTTTTGTGATATGAAATTATTATTGGACTTGTTGAAGCTTGATCTAATACTGCATTCATATGAGCTTCATTGTTTAAATGGTATTTATTTGTGTGATATAACAAGTCTGACTGTATACTTGGGTGGTGATTGTATTGATGACAATCCCAGGTGCTGTATAAATATAACCTGAAAGGTTAGCATGTGTGGGTTTGGGTGGCCCCAGGCCCGGCAATATCCAATTTTGTTTTTATGTGGTGCTTGGGGCTGGGGCTGAGCCTGGATGCCCCGCCCTTCTGCCTGCCTGGTGGTTTCCCCTTTGGACACCTTGGACGCACTGCTTGCTGTTTTTCATCATCACTTTGCCCCAACCACTGCCTCCCTGTCTTGGCCGTAGTTTGTCATATATAGAACCACTCAACTCATCATCTAGTACTTTAAATTTGCCTATAATTATTTTAGATTAAAAAACTCTTCTGGGTTTTGACAAGTCCTTATGCAATGAGGTATAGGAATCTAAGCAATCTTTTGTTTTCTAAATTTTTTTTCATTTCTTTTTCTTATAGATCTGTGAAAGGTATTTTAAAATTTTGTTTTTAAAGCTGTTTCACTGCCCCAATTCCATGTAGCCATATATGGATCAGTATGCAAATGGAAGGGGGGAGAGGAGTTTATAGTAGGAGTTGAGAAAGATAATTTTTTGTCAGATTTTTCAGTAAAACCAGTTTTGTGTGGAGCTGTTGTAACAGGCAGAGTGGCCCATATGAGATGCTTCAATCCCTGGCCACCTCTGTTCATTACCCCTACATTCATGCTCCAACTATTTCTTACTACATTTGGATCACTTAGTATGTAGAATATCAACTTTGCATTTTTTTTTGACAAGTTGTGTTATTGCTTATATTAAAGATGTTCTTCTGTTCACTATAATGTTTGTAGCTGTGATTAATATCCTTCATGTATGAAGGGTTGCAGCCAAGTTGATTACTTTTTTGCTGCTCCTGGCCCTTGGTACTTCTGCTCCTGGTGCCTCATTGGTCACGCCATTTTATAACAGCTACACCAGTGGACCTGCTCTCTCCTTTTTATATCCCATTTTGAAATAGATCATTGCTTGCCCTTACTTCTCTGGACGTGCATTCCCCCTCACTTCATGTCTCCATGTGTTTTGGCTCACTGGCCAGGTGGTATTTGTGTAAATTAATGGAGCCTGACATCATTCTTTTTTAATGTTTGATAAAATTAAAGTTGCTTATAATATTTTGTGAAACTTGAATGAGGTGCATGACATCACTGATC